CAGCCTGGAGAAATAGGTGGTGCTTCCGTTGTTAGAATAAAGAAGACCACCTTAACATTATTTCATATACTAGTCCACCTGTTCTTTTCAAGCAAATCTTCCCCTAACTTCCCTATGTCATCTGCTAAAAGATGAGTGATGAAGTTTAAGTACATGATCTCCAAATAATTAAACCAATAAATAAACCTGATATTTACTTTCAAATGTGGAACCTCTCTAAGAGCATAAGGTCTTCATTAGGGTGTGTGGTTTGTTTGTTTGTTTGTTTGTTTGTTTAAAAGGAGAAAGGATGAAAGAAAAGAGCCTGCTGAAGCTGAAATTTTAATTCTTAGACTAGGATGTTTCCAGAAGCTTCTTGATAGGACTTTGAATTTATGTTCTTGAGGAAAGTTTCTACATCCTGCTGGGGTATAGAAAGAAGCTCTGTTATCTACTGGATTCCTGAGAGAGAAGGCACAGGGCCTGTTGTGTATATCCTCAGACCTTGAAATAATCACTCATTTTGGCATGAAATTCATCCAGCAATCTGATTTTTAAGACCTCAGCATTAAAACAAAAATCAATGTCTATGGATTCTATTCTATTTACATGTGAAAAGAGCAGATTTTACAGTTGGATTGTTAATTTTCTTGGAAATGTAATGGTGACTTAACTTGAAAAATGTGTAACAATGTTATTTTTTTTTAAAGATCCAGTGGTGGAGCTACCATGAATTTTTAAATGTCTATTTTGATTAATTTGGCATATTTTGGTTCAGATATTAGCATGTGATCTCTCTTCACTTCCCTGCCATTCCCTCCTCCCTCTCTTCCTCCACCTCTCCTTCTCTCTCTCTATCTCTCCTTCCCTCCTCATCTTTCTCCTCCCTCTTTAGTTTTTGGAGGTATGATTTGCATACAATAAAATACACTGATCTAAATTGTTCAGCTTGTTGAATTTTGACATTTACATACACCTATGTAACAAGTACCCAAAATAAGATCTAGCATATTTTCTTCACCTCAGAAAGCTCTCTTGTGTTCCTTCCCACTCCAGAGGCTCCCAATTTCCTGATTTCCATCATTTTAGTGTTGCCTGTTCTTTGATTTCATCTGCATATAGCATGCACATTTTGAGCTTGACTTCTATCTCTTAACATAATGTTTTTGAAATTCATCCATATTGATGTATTAATTTGTTCTTTTCTGTTGCTGAATAGTATTCCCTTGTATGAGTACAAGGGAATTTATGTATTAGTGTTCTTGTTGAGGAATATGTGGCCTATTTCTAGTTTTTTCCTATTATGAATAAGGCTGTTGCAAGTCTTTTGTGCTCATGTATTTTCATTTCTCCTGGGTACACACTTGGATATATAATTGCTGAGCCATAGGGAGCATGTATCCTTAACTTTTTTAGCAGCTACCAAACACTTCTTCAAAGGTATTGAATGATTTTATATTTCTACCAGTATGAGAGCTCCAGTTACTCCAGATCTTCACCAGCATATGGTAGCCTCCATCTTATTTAGCCATTAGCCATTCTAGCGGTCATAAATGATAGCTCAGTTTTTAAATTTTCATTTTCATGATGACTAATCACATTGACTATCTTTCATGTGTTTATAAATTGGCCATTTGTGCATCTTTTATTTATAAAGTGTCTCTTCAAGTGTTTGCCCAAATTTTGATTGCCTTGTTTAATTTTTTATTGCTGATTTGTAGGAATGGTTTATATTTTGGTTATAAATTCTTTGTCATATACATATAATATTTTCCGTATATAATATTTCACCCAGTCTGGTGCTTGCTTTTTCATTTTCTTACCTGTGTCTTCCAAAAGGCAACAGTTTTTATTTTGGTAAAGTCCAATTTATTAATTGTTTTATTTTAAGGTTAGTGCTTTTAGTATCCTATATAATAAATTTTCCCTACACTGAGGTTTCAAAATTACTCTGTTTCCTTCTAGAAGTTTCATAGTTTTTGCTTTTAAATGTAGGCTCATGATCCATTTCAAATGGACTTTTATGATTGGAGGGACATAAAGGTTATGGTTAATTTCTTTTTTTCTAGGTATCTGTTTGTTCTGGTACTATTTATTGAAAAGATGATCCTTCCCTATTGAATTGCTTCAGTACCTTGGTAATAAATCAACACATTTATGGGGATCTCTTTCTGGGTTCTCCATTTTGTTTTGTTGATCAACTGTAATTTATAGATATGATCTATCCATAAGGTATCAATACCAGAGTTTTCTTGATTTCTGTAGCTTTATAGTAAGTTTTGAAATCAGGTGCTATAAATCCTCCAACTTTGTTCCTTCTTTTAATATATTTTTTAACATTAAATTGTTTAAACTTATCAAACTTTCAAAAAATTATAAAAACAATAAAAGAATGCACCCCAATTACCCAAATGTGAAATTCTTCTATAACCACAGTACAATACCAAACTGAAAAAAAAATTGACATTGATAAAATACTGTTATCTAGTATTAATATTATTTAAGTTTACCATGACTTCTGTTCATCTGAATTTCCATCCATTGTATTTCCCTTTAGCCTGAAGAAATTTTCCTAGTAGTTCTTGTAGTGAAGATCTTTTGAAATTGAATTATGTTGACTTTTTTTTCTGTCTAGAATGTCATTTTTTTGCCTTTTTTTTAATGATAGAATTCTAAACTGACAAGGCTTTTTCTTTCAACCTTTCACACATGCTATTTCTTTGACTTCTGACCCCCATTGTTTTTGGTGACAAGATAGCTTTTTTTTTTAGAGAGGGAAAGAAAGAGAAAGGAAGGGAAGGGGCGAGAGAGAGAGAGAATCTCAAGCAGGCTCCAGTGTCCAGCACAGAGCTTTTTTTGGGGCTTGATCTCACAACCCTGAGGTCATGACCTGAGCCAAAATCAAGAGTTGGACGCTTAACTGAGCCACCCAGGCGCCCCAACTTTTTTTTTTAATACCAGTTTTTCCTTGTATATAATCTTTTTTCTCTGGCTTCTTTTAATAATTTTCCTTAGCTTTAGTTTTTGAAAGTATGGTATGCATTGTTCTGACTTAGTTTATCCTGTTTGATTCAGTGAGCTTCTTTAATCTGTGGATCAAAATCATTCAGTTTTTGAAAATTCTCAACCAGCAGCTCTTTAGATATTTCTCCTGACCTTTGCTGTTTCTCCTTCCAAGATTTCATTACACATATGTTAGGCTATTTAATATTGTCTTACATATTTCTGATGCTGTGTTCAGTATTTTTCCACTACTTTTTTTTTTTTTTTTTTTGTATTTCAGTTTGGATTACCTATATGTTTCAATTTACAGTTCTTTGGTTCTTTTCTGTTCTATCAGTCTACTGTTAATATCATCAAATGGAGTCTTAATTTCTAATGTTGTATTTTTCATTTCCAGTCTGCTTATTTAATTCCTTTTGTTTTTTGTATTTTCCATCTTTCATCAAGATTCCTTTTATCTTCACAAATGTAGTTCTGGATTTAAAACATGGGGCTGAGGTAGCTGTGTTCCCCATCCTAGCTCTCCCATGCATGAGAGGGCCAAAACCCCTCATAATCCCTGCTGGCTACATGATGGGATAGCAAAGAACAGTCTGGCTTTCAGTTGCTTCCAACCCGTAAGAATACATACTTATCATCATTGAGACTATTAATTGAAAAGAACAACTGAAGGCAGCTCCTGAAGGAAGTTTCCTGAAATGGTCTAAGCTTTGCCAGAATCATTGGGGTAGGTCTGCCACCTCCTTACAGGGCTCCTTTGAAGAGAAGAGCACACATAAGGAGGCAGGTACACTAAGTTCAATTTTGATGGGACATCCACAAAAAGCAGTATCTTAACATTGTTTAGAAGTTCTGACTCATGGTAATAATAAAAAGCACACTGACTTTTGATCCATTTCATTATTGTTTTTAAATTCTCTACAGATAATATTCCCTTTTATTACTTGCACCTGGGGTTGACATCTCCCAGTACTCTGGCCTTGATGTGTGACTGCTCGGAGGCACAGAGGTTTTCTTTTGTTAAGTTATCTACTTTATTATAGCTACTGATCACTATTCTTCAAAGGACCTAATAGAAATAGACTTTCAGGGCACCTGAGTGGCTCAGTCATTAAGTGTCTGCCTTCAGCTCAGGTCATGATCCCAGGGTCCTCGGATCGAGCCCCACATTGGGCTTCCTGTTCATCGGGGAGCCTGCTTCTCCCTCTCCCACTCTCCCAGCTTGTGTTCCCTCTCTAGCTGTCTCAAATAAATAAACAAAATCTTAACAACAACAACAAAAAAGAAATAGACTTTCCAGTGAAGGAATAATCCCTGGAGATCACGGATGCCTGGTTCCTGGACACTGAATTCTGTCAGTTCTTGTGTGAGGCAGGCCATTCCATAGAAGCACAAACAGCATCATTTTCTAAATAAGAAGGAAAGAAAAATAAAAACTGGAATTCAAACTCGTATTGTCTTTCTAAGTTTAAGAACCTCTTACCTCCTTGCTGCAGTGTGCCTCTGGACATATCAGCTCCTTTGATTCTCCAGAGCTGTGTTTTATGCAGGGTGTTGCTAGCAAGAATCATGCCAAGAAGGAAGAGGAATTTAAGCAGAGAGAGCTTTAGAGCATTATGTATTGGTCTCTGGCAAGGGAGCACTTGACTGAACAAGAACCAGCCAGATGCAGTGTCTCCAAGGTGAATTTGTAATAACTTAGGTGGCAGTAATTTCCTAGGAGACTGGCATAATTATACCCAAACAAATTGCCTGAACAGCCACATATTTATTAACATGAGATTAAAACTCTCAAGTTGGAGCAAACCTGGAGAGCAACATCAAAAGTCAAAGCAGTGAGGAGCATTGGTAATCTGTCTGACACCCAATACCAGGGGGCTGTTAAAGAGCCAGGGTAGGGTCCAACCTGCAGTTAGGGCCTCTGAGGCCTCAGCTGTAAGTTCTGGTTTACTACAAATGAGGATTAAAATCACTAGATATCAACACTTAGAACTTGTAACTAATGCGTAACAAATCACTCCAAAATTTAGTGGCTTTGACCAGTTTATAATTCGGGCTGGAATCAGTTGGGCAATTTGGGTTTCATCTTGGCCCTCTTCTGTATCTGCAGTCAGCTGTAGGTCAGCCAAGCAGTGATGTTTCTGGGGTTGCTTGGCCGTTGGCTGGGACAACTGCATGGCTATGAGCACTGTTTCCAGTCCTCCAGCAGTCCCAGCCAGGCTTGTCTTCATGATGGTTCCAGGGTTCACAAAGAGCAAGCAGAGCATGCAAGGCCTTGGGAGGGTAGTCCAGAACTGGCACAGCATCATTTCCATGGAACTCTGTTGGCCAAAGCAAGTCACACAGCCTAGAATCAAGTGGAGAGGAGATACACTCCACTTTTTGATGAAATGAGATGCAACATCACATTATAACACATTGCAAAAAGTATGGCCACTAGGAGTAATGAAGGGCTCTGGGCTTTTTTTGAATTCTACAGCAAAACCCTTTAAAAAAAGAAAAACCTAATGGAAGTGGTGCTGGTGCTAGGAGAAGTAAACGCTGCATATTCAAGTCAGAGGTCTTTATTCTGTATTTTTGTTCGATTAAATTAGCATATATTTATTAAACAAGTTCTTTAAGCAAGATAAGCAAGATACTATGTTAGGCACCCTGTGGGGAAGAGCAGTTAAAAAAAATGTTGCTCCTGATTTCTAGGAGCTCACACTATAGTAAGCGAGACAGACATACAGACAGTTCCCTCATAATGTCTTCAAAATCACCAGTATTGTGATGTTTTCCAATAAGGAATATGGAATAGGAAGAATGTAGATGAAGGTGCCTGTAGGGTGTGTAAGATTACAAAATCGTTGCTGTTAGGACTAGACAAGAACAGTGGTAGAGTTTAATCTACTTGGTTGTTTGAGTTGTGTTCAGGCGAGAGTCAAGGAATCCTGGAGTGATAGTGTCTCTCTGGTGAGGGTGACGTAAATGTGACTTAGCAGGTTATGGGGTCACAGAGAAATCAGGTAAGCTCAGGTTTCTGATTGATTGGATTAATTTACCACCTACCACGTACTTCATGATGAGATGGATTTAATATTTGGAAGGGAAGAAGGGATAAAACTGGGTAACAACTCAGATGGTGGCAACAGAAAAAGCCCCGGGGGCAGGGGTGGGGAGGCAGTGCACTGGTAGGTGAAAACCAAGTGAATACACCTGAAATCCTTAGTAGAGAACTGTTAACAGAGCTCTCGAATTAAGTCATGGAACTGGAATAGTTTATGTGGAGGGTGAACACATGCCTACCTTTTGCGTTGGTTTCCTGCCCTCTCCATATACATTTGCTGGTTTGTTTTATTCCAAGAAAGACTTTGGCATTTCTGTATGGATCTCTCATACATAACCTTTTCCTTCCAAACTAGTTGCGGGAGTGGGACCAAAAATGAGTATTTATGTATTTTTATATCTTTAACAACTATTGATGGGCTGATTTCATGTATCTCAGGCTTCATAAGCTGAGAAATCTATAAAGATGTTAGAAAATATATCCATTTCTGGTTCTGTTTGTTCTTGACGCCCCACAATTCTGTGGCCGTGTTATGAAATTCAGCCGCTCTAACCCGTAAGAGTGTGTTTCCTTGAGCATCGGGCTTTCACGATATTGATTTTTCCATCTTTGACCATGACGGGGTGTGCACGGTGGGAAAGCACGGCCGTGGAAGGAAGACCCTCACGTGCCTCTGTGGGCAGCGGTCTAGTGGGGTAATGAGAGAAGGATCTCAGGATTCAGACTTCCCTTTTCCAATCACAGCTCTCTCTCTCCCTCTCTCTTTCTAGTCATGTAATTGAGGGCAAGTTATTTGATCTGTCAATGCCTCAGTCTTTTCCACTCTAAAATGGGAAAACAATTATGTATGGTTTTATGGTTTGTTATGAGAATTAAGTGCAGTGATGCTGTAAAACACTTAGAACCCTTGCATGGCAAGAACTAAATAAATGTCTGCAATTAATAGTAATGACCATGTCAATTCTTCTACTGCCCCCCAGCATGCCCTGTGCCAAGTTTTTCTCAGCTAAAAGTTTTCACTTACTGAGTACCCTGTACTGCCTGAAAGTTACAGGGATTAAAAAGATGCAGTTTCTGTTTTCAAGGATTCATTAGGGGGATGGAGATATATATATATATACACCTTCCATAGAGGGGTTGAGGCAAAGTGCTGACACAGCACCGTAGAGGGAAAGAGCAGATCTGGCAAGGCTGAGTGCGGCATTTGAACTGAAGGATATGTAGGATTAGGCAGCTATCATGAGTTGGGGGCTGAGAATGGGGATGGGAAAAGAAAAGTCATGTTAATGTTTCTAATTTAAAATGAGGAAATTGGTCCATATAATTTTCAGTTGCATCAGAGTTCTAAAATTCAATTCTGCAAAATCATGCTTTCATTCCTTGATGAATATATGAGAATTTTGTAAATGAGTTGTTGCATCCAAAAATTTTAGCTGCTGGGCATGAAGTTTACCCAGTATTCATGGCAAAACAGATTACTAGTGGAAATTTGAATTAGGAAAATGCTGACACATTAGAAAATATAATTTGTATGCAATGGCTTGAATAAAAAAAAAAAAAAACACGTAAAACTAGCCAGTAACTCTGCAGTTACTAAACGGGGCCTAATGGCACTTTTGTTTCTCATGTTGTCATTTCCAGGTTGTTTTAACAAAGCTTACCTGGGAGGAAGGGCTTTAGGTAACCCTGACAAGATGGTGCTTCCCCCAATGTCTCAGTTGAAATGATGCTTTGAGATTATTTAGATGCTACAAGTGGTTTGCCAGTTTTCATTGTTTTTAAGAATTACCTGTTTGTAAAAGAAATGCAGATTCCCTGAGCACTGCCTTTGAAGATTCTGATTCAGTAGGTCTGTGACAGAGCCCAGGAATCTTCATTTTAACAAAGATCTGATACAGGTGATCTCCCAGAAACAATGAAACGGTGAGTTAAGAAGAAGGTTGAGTTTTGTCCAAAGTCACACAGAGTAGCTGTGAAACCAGAGTGTGTGTTCTGGAAGCAGCACCATTTAGTGCTGAAGATAAACCTGAGAACTGTATCTTTTTAAGAAGATGAACCTATAAGAAAATTTTAAGGTACTAATTGAAGGATTAGGGATCAGAACTGCTCCAGGGCAAAATTTTGAGGTCAATATTTGGTCTTGTTTGTCCCCAGTCTTCTTCCTTACTTGGTGACCCTTAGCCGCTTTTCCTCTGTCCCCCAGAGCACTAAACCTACTTTGTCACACCATTCCCCGTCCCTCCCTAGAAACCTTCCTTCTCCTTCTTCAACCCAATTGTATCCTGGTTTTTAGAGCTTCTCTCTGACAGGGACTGATTTTTTACATTGCTTAAGAGGCACAAAATAAAATAATGACTTCCAAAAGAATCCCAGAAATTGGCTGCTCTAAAAGATTTGGATGCCCTCCAGCCCCCCGATTCATAGTGCATCTTGCTGTTAGTAATAACGAAAGAAAACAGAGTCTGAAAGAAAAAAATCCCATTTAAATCCAGTTCAGGCTTCTCATAGGGACCTGGGACAGTGTATGGATGTAAAAATCTTTTTGGAATGCACATGAACTGCTATGCTAAACACTGTTCACACAGGCACTTGGCTAGAGGAAGGGGACACCGGCTGCAGTGTGAGCCCCAGTTCTAAAGCAAATGCTAAGCCTACGGATGATAAGCTACTCTGGAGAAAAAAGACGATGAGAATGATTTTTGTTTCAGAGGCATCCCTTTTAATGATAACTCAAACAATTAATTTTCATGGCAGTGCCTACAAAGTGCCTTATAAAACACTGTTCAAGGTGCCTTATGAAACCTACAGCTTAACAGATAATTTAGAATGGGGAGAAGTTTCAAAGCAAAGGGATCTGGAAAGAGGTTAGTTTGTATCTTTCTAGGAGTTTTGGCCAAAGGGCCTATAGGGGAACATGTGTGTTTCTTTATCTAGCCTGGTGCCACATGAGTCAGCCATGGGTTAAGAAAAAGAGGAAGAGCAAGAGAAGGAGGCAAGAGAAGGAATGACCACTAGATGGCAGAGAGGAATTTGGGCATAATAGCCCTCCAAAGGAGAGAGAGAAACCCTCTGAGATTGGCCAGTACTGTGGACACTTTCAGTCCGCGCCGCTGTTCAGATTTCCTTTTCTGCCATAGCCATCTGAGCCACTCAACACTGTCTAGAAGCAGAAAGGTTTAAACTTACTCTGACTAGTGAGGTGTCCTTGCTTCCAAAAATTCCCTCTCTAAAACATCTGTGTAGAAACATCCTTGAGGAGAGATAAAAATGCTAAGGTTGATAGTCTGAGACCCCAGTTTACGGTGGTTCTAAGGAATGACTTTAACACAAAGATATAAGATGAAAGGATGATTTTCCCCTGCAAACTCATTTATATGAAGTATTTATGTTGCATGTTTGAAGGAGATAAGAATCATTGTAAACTGTCAGCTGTGCTGGACAGAACACAGGCAAGCAGTCCCCGAGCCAGATGTTTTCATGGTGTGACTCTTAGGACCCTCACGACCTCCTTAGGCTCTGTTCCAACCGGCAGAATGCCCCACGCAGACCAGCAGGCAGCTGGTGGACCCCCTGTTAGTGGGAGCTCCCCTTGAGGATGGTGGACAACTCTTCTTCTTTTTTTCCATTCCCACAGGAGGCCCTGAGGATAAAATTCTCGGAGAAGTAGCTGCACAGAGCAGTCTTTAGTCACAAGATCACTTTCTTTTGCACATTTTGCTGTCCCCTTGCCCTCCTGTCACCTCTGACTTTCCACATGTTTCCCATCTTTCAAGATCAACTTGAAACACTTTTGGACATCTTTTATCACTGTTTTTCATTGTCTGAAAATCCTACAGCCTCTGTAACTGATACCCCACAATGAACAATTATATTGTCTGTGGTTATGTATGATTCCCTGGTGGCTCCAGATGTGAAATTTTGTTTTCTAAGTGATACTCTGTCTCCAGAAAATCAGCATCTGCTTTTCTGGGTTTAGTCAGGGTTAGATACATGGCTCCCAATAATTTGCTTTTGATCCTTATCATTCATCCAGGATCCAGGGTTTGTCAGCCATAACCATCAGTAGACAGAGAGGCAATGTGCTACAGTAAAAATACCATTGAATAAACAAAAGGGGTTATTGGGTCTAGTGTTCTCACTCTTTAACTTGATGAGGACCTTTGGATTCCTTTTATTTATAAT